AAAAAAAAAAAGGAGACAACTATAAAAACTTACTGATCGACTTCTGAAAAATAGTACTCAAAAAAGCAGTTTACAATGTTTATTTATACAAAAGAGAACACTGCAAAACTGTCAATTCTCTTTACTGTATTTACAGATTTATGGCTTTACCTACAGCTACAAAAATGACACCAACTCAGGTTGCTTTTTCCCATAATCAAAACCAACCCTGGAAAAACTGACAAAGAAAGAAACAAACAAACAAAACAAATATGAACAAGAGCAAAACAACAAAAATGATGAGCCCCTGGGGAATACTAACTCTGTCTTGAACTAGAGTATCTATGTGGGCAGGCGGAGGCCTGCGTGTGACTGAGGACAGTACGTAGCCTGCAAGAGAGGCAGATGACAGAACTGACTGGAGGGAAGGTTTTAAGTCCAGCCCTTGATCCTTTCAGTATTCCCTAGGACAATGAATTTCTACACCTTCAATAAAGGAACCTAAGGCAGCTCCTCAGAGCCTAAGTGCCAGGACCAAGGGGAAATACCAGGACTGCACCAAAGCAGGGGTTTATATTGGAAGCATGAGTCCACAGGCTGTGCTAAAAACCACTTGAAAATATGCCAGTGAATGTGAACTGGCCTTTATTAACACCTTACGAGAACAAAACGCATAAAATAAAACAGACTACTAGCGAGTATCACAATAATTGCACATAAGGATGGAAACTGGTTCCAGAAACCATGATCAGTAAGAATGATGTTAGCCAAAGAAAGCCCGGGAAGAGTGATCAGGCTAAGGGGCAACCCACTTTTCCATGGGATTCCTAAGGGCCTTGATAGGGGGTGTGATGAGGTATGAAGTGAGCGAAGGAAAGAACTCCAGAGTTGCTAACTCCAAGTTCCTTGAAAGAAATCGAATGGGCTCCTCCACCCAGAAAGGAGAACACAGCAGGATTCTCATTCTGTGGCAGCCACTTCTGGGAAGCCTCAGGCAGGAGTGGCCTGGTGAGAAGGAATTCATGAAAGGAGGCTCACAAAGTCAAATCCTGTGGTATAAAGAGTTGGCCTTAGGCCAGCTAATTAGAGGTAACCAAAGAACTATTAGAAATGAAGCGAAACATTGAGACACTGATGAGAGGTGCATGCACGACATAGGAGAGAACAAAATAGTCCCTGTCCTGTCCTGTTTGGAGGGCACCAAGTAGAGTTGCTAAGCTCAGAACCCCAAAAACACCCTACTTGAGGCTGGGAGGGAAATGATATGAAAATACAAAATGTTAAAAATACAAATGATACAAAAATACAAAAAAAAAAAAAAAAA